CATGATCTCCCGACTGCATGAGCTCCTGTACTCAGGGTTTCCTTTACAAAAAAAACCTTGTTCTCACTCTACCAACTAACCCTAAAAAGGCCGGTCTATTTGAGGTCTTGATACGGCCGGGGGGGGGGGGGCATTATGGCCCCCTAAGATCTCGGCCGTGAAACGGCCGATCGCCGCGAAAATGTGCACACATGTTAAGTGAAGTGTTTAGAATACTATGGTAAATTTAATTTGTTGAAAAATGTACTCATTTGCATATTTATGGTAATTTATGTAAATAAGGTCATAAAATTCACCTTTTTACCCATAAATCATATATTCTTTATATTTAAGCATTCTTTTTTACTACATGTATTCGTTAGACAATTTGAAACAATAATACGACAAAACATTTGGAAGAGCTAGGTTATTCCTTATGTTATCTCTTGTTTTGATAAATTCTTACTATTTCATTGTTTTTTCAACTTTTGTATTTTATTGTGTTTTTATTTTTTAATTTCTAACTACAATTCAATTATTTTGACTCCTAAGACAAATACCTAAACTTTAAACAAGACCCAATAACCAGTGTTTTATCTCTTTTTAGGAAAAATGACATTTCCATTATTATGTTTTGTACACAAATCACGAAAATGAGCGTTTTTCGGGCTGACATGCAAAGACAAAAGGTCACGTGACTCTGTAACTGTACCCCCCATTTTCAAAAAAGTTGTTTTAAAAGATGCGCAAGACTCGAAAGAAAAAAGTCAGCGAGCGGCGGGGCGCCATCCGTATGCGTTCCCGAACAATCAGAAAAATCGCGGCCTTATTAGGATTAAGGACCTCAAGCTTCTGAGTATTTCTTGAATGAGTTCATATTTTACATGAATTTCGGCAGTATTACATTCCTATTACTCCCCTGATGTTCACATCTCTCTCTCTCTCTCTCTCTCATTCCTCTCCTCTCTCTCTCTATTCCTCTCCTCTCTCTCTCTCTCTCTCTCTCTCTCTACCTCTCTCTCTCTCTTACATTTTCCTCTCTTTAAACACAATTAGGTGGGGAGGGGAACGTGTCCCCGTACTTCCCATCGCTGCATGTATGTAACTTCCTTGGAGCGTTAACACCAACAAAAACAGGCCAATAACCCAATAAAATTGCATTTCCACAATCAACGACTAATCAACAACAACATAAATAAACTGGGTTATGAACAAATTGCCTCATTTTGCTTAGGGGCAATCTGTTTACGCCGTCGTTCATAACACATAGCCCTTCATCATCAATTTGAAGAGGAAGAAGAAACTAAAACAAGGCCATTGCAACGTTCCTATTTGATACCTGTCTGCTATTTAAAAAAATAAAAAAATGACTTGATGACTTTTCCCATTTCCAATAAAATTTCGATGGGATTAATATTTCATTTGTCTCATTTCTTGTTCCGAAGCTTTCGACATGATGGAATGGATTTTGTTTTTCTCAGAATTGAGGAAAAAATTATTATGAGTAAATTGCGATGGTTATTGGTAGGTCACTTGATGTTCTAATGCGAGCTTCCAAAGTAATGTGTTGGGGTAAAAGATTGGATTTACAATCAACTTAGCTCGCGGGTCGACATCTTCCAACCAGTTCAGGGCAGCCAAACGGAAGCCACCGATCGAAATTACCAAAGACCAAAGTGGTCCGAACTGTGTAAATCCATTAAATAGAATTAATCGTTTTGAGATCAGCACACATTTTTATATTGAATTCGGATGTCAAATCCCACTATTCAATTGATATGACCAAAATATTGGCCTGATTTTGGATAAAAAATCAATGCAAATAGTCATTTTTGGCCAATATGTGACCGAAATTACCAAATAGTTGCTGTTAGGGAACAATGTGACTACTTTTTCCAGCACCAGGACCCTGTTGCATAAAACTTGTAATGAATAATAAGTATTAAACAATAAGCTACTGAAATCGTGGCATTTGATTGGCTGAGAGTAAAATTTGTCATCGAAATTTAACAGTTGTTATTGATAGCAAGTTTTATGAAACAGGGCCTAGATCACAGTTTTACATTGAATAGGCACTTCAAAATCTCCTTTGCTGATAATAACAATTCAACATGCCTTTTCCCACTCACATTATCCCAGCTACATATCTGGGCAGAAATGATCACCCTCTGAAGTATGCAGTACCCCCAGCTTCCATTGATAGCTTCAAGTACTCCTTCTATCCTCGCACCATCTGGACGTGGAACCACCTATCAGCTGCTGCGGTAATATCTCCAACAGTGACCATCTTCCAGGAGGCTGCTCTACCCATCATCAGAGCGTTGCCTCCTCCTGTTGGGTCCAAGCTACTGTAGACTCCACGTCTTGGTTTTTACTTTGACGTCCACCGTTTTATTGTATATAATGGACACCATTCACTGTTTTGAATTACTTCATGCACTGTCACTATGCCAGCACGTTGCACGGACATCCCAGTTTAGCTGTATGATAGCTGCCATCGGGATTATCTCTACAAGTAACAAGTTACAAGGAAGTAACCCCTATAATGGTCACTTTTGAGATTCAAGATTCAAGATGCAAAAGATTTTATTTCTCATGTATAATAAAAAACAATGATGATTGATATTACTGTAATTTGATATAAGTTAATTACACAAAATATACAATGAAACAAGACAAAGATAGTAATGGCATTTTAAAGAAATTGCCCGGTGGCCGGCCGATGATCGGCGGGGCATCTGCGGGTGTCTCGTAGTCCAAAATTCCGCCCCCCCCCCACTCAGTGTTATTTAGGGTACGCATATGCTTGTTCCCTCTTTTTGAAAGCACCCCCTATCTGAGGACTGCCAACATTTCCGAACCCCCCTTTCGCGGGCTTTTCACGGGCTTTTCCTGCCTCGGAGACCCCCCTTAATCATGAAAAATACTCAATGTACCCCCCTAAATTCGGAATAATTTCTCAGGAGTCCAAAGAGATGAGAGAAAAAAAGAAAAAACACCCCCTTTTTAAAGAAATCTCCGGGTAAAAAGTTAATACACCCCCCCCCCCCTTTTTTTTTTACAATTCTCGGGCCGGACTTTGTCGCACGAAAAGTACCCCTTTACCGGACATTTTGGTAACACGCATGGGGTCCGCCCGTTCTCGGAGTGGGGGGGGGGGGGGGGGGGGGGGGGGGGCAAAATACGCTCCGGGCGGGCGCCGCCCGATCACTGATCTAATCGAGCGTTCGCCGTCTAGCGATTTATGTCAAAATTCGAAGCCGCTAGGCTCATCAGGCTGCCGAGCTGGCGCTGCCCGAACGCCGACTGATTTTTAACTCGCCGCCCAGTGGCCGACTGATCTCCCAGCCGCGATCGGGCGGCGACTAGCCTTCGACCGCTCGGCAGCCTTTGGCCTAGCAGCTTCGATTTTTGAGCGTATTTTGGGCTGCGGATTTAAACGTGAAAAGTGAGCAGGCGCCGCCCGAATTTCACCTCCGCGATTAAATTTCAGCGGCGACCGAGCGATGCCCTAAAACAAACGGTACGTGCCCGGGCGGCCGCCGCTTGGTGCCCTGGCGAAATTGGCTAAAATTAGCCGCCCGGCCGCCAAGCAGGCTACTTGTTGGGGTAGTGACCATAAGGGAGAAAGGAATTGAGTCGAGAGTCAAACAAACTGAGATTCATGCATACAGACGTGTCAACATAATTTCAACAATGCAGCTGACCGGCAACGACGCATACATTCTTGCATTTGTGTTTAAACATTTAATTTTCTACTTTTCTTTAAAAGGTGGAATTGGTTTGACTGTCTAGTGGGGTATAAATATATCTCTTCTTTTTTTTTTGAAAATTGAGAAAATGACCAAAACGTCGCGAGCATAAGTCAGGACTGATGGCTTTTGAGTCAGCACAACAGTTTCCCCCGGATAAGCTATTCTAACCTCTGCCACCAACATTTAGATTATATTACCTTTTCTCCTAATGTATAACAATACCACAGTCGATATTTTTGTCCACTGTTTCCCACAATGCATCACATGAAATCGACTCAACACCGGTGTCGTTAGGTGGCGCTGTGGATTATGAGTCCACCGTATTATCCTGTCATTCAGCTTCAGCAGTGCATAATTCCCAGGAACAGTAGCACACTGCACCTGGGTAGAAAGAGGCAACTACATTAAGGCTGCGATGAGTACTCGAATACCCGCATTGTTGACAACTACTCGAGTACGATTTGTCGTACTCGAATACTCGGCCGCCATTTTTTGCTGTTGCTGTTGTTGCCCGGTCACCTGGCACTGTCCTGGCCGACACTTAGCCTGCATGGTACCGTGGTTAAAAATGTTTCCCAGCTCAATCACTGTCAACTGACCACTCAGAAACTGGGACCAAATGTCCGGATTTCCTGTTTGGACTCGGAGGAAACGTAGGGTGCGTTTAAGCTCAATTTTGAAGGCAGAATGAGCGAATTGAAACGCTCATCGTAATCGCAGTTCCACGGTGTACTGTTTATGCTCACTTCTCTGGCTCCTCCAGGCAATTCTGGCTGGGTGGCCTTGCAGCTGGATTCGCAAAACTGCACTGCGCATGCTACGTAGACCCACTAGAGGTCAGTGCGTTGACCCCATTTAAACGCGTTTATAAATGATTGTGCGTTTATGCTTCCCCAGAATCGCCGATCGTAAACGCACCTTTTTGTAAGTTTACGATCGGCGATTACGATCGCCGTTTTTCGGTGATTCTACAAAAATGAGAAAGGACGCAACCGTGTTTTGAACTAAACGCGTAACAGATGCCTCATTCTGGCCAGAAAAAGCTGAGCATAAACGTACCCATCTTTGGTTTTTAAAACAGCATTGTTACTAGCTATTATTATTAGTGTTAAATCGGCGCCTTCAACTGCAACTCGAAGTAAAATCGCGTGAGACGGACCTGGGATGGTCTACCGTAGTATGGTGGTGGCCAAAAAAACAAAAAAAGCAAACGTGTAACTGATGTCGCCGGCCGGCCTGGCTATATAGCTGGCAAAACAAATTTCTCTAGACGAGAATGTCACGAGGTGTTGCGTTACGAAGATCTGCTAGGGAACATCGAAAACAACCTTTCAGTAGATTTCGCGCCAAAGTCCGATAAGAACGTTTCATCACCGAGTAGATGATCACATTACACAGAGGATTAAGAAGCAGGGGCCAGCACACCAACGCCCTGATGATGATCGAAACGTCGTGGGTTACCATGGAACGATATATTTTGCATATTGTGAAGGGTGCCCATGCCGCGACGTAGGTACCCGTCACCAAAAGCGTCATGCGTATCGCTTTGTGGTTGACATTCTTCTTCACCACGAGAGGCCTTTCGTCCGGTAAGTCCGGCTCGTCGCTCCCGGCTGCTTTGAGGATTCGAGGTGTGAGTTCCTGGGCCTGAATACGTCTCACGTGTCTCCTGCTTATGCAAATGATCCGTGCGTACATGATGGCCAGGATGGGAATGAGAGACCAGACACAAAGTGAGAAGATCGCGAGCGAGTACGCGATGAAGCTCGGTTCGTAGAAAGTTATGTTGCAGATGCCCAGTTTGGAGTACTGAATGATTCTCGGTCCTAGGGGGTTCACGAATGTTACGATGAGAAAGACTAATGCCTCAACGATGCACGAACTGGTGGCGATGATGACAGCTTTTCGCCGATCCATGATGGCCATGTAGCGGAGGGGAGAGGCTATACTGAAGAAGCGATCCAGATTGAGGAGCAGCAAACTAGCGGAGGATAGACCGGCGACTAGCGTCAAACCGAAGCCAAAGATCTTGCAGACGACATCTCCGAAAGGCCAATCACCAACGATGGCAGAAGGCAAAGCTGGAAGGATAACGACACCGAGAAGAATATCAGCAGAGGACAAACAGTTGTAGAAGACTTTACTGGCTTCGTTGATGTCAGGTAGGCGAGGGATGACGACGAGGTTCAAGATGTTGGTGGATATGATCAGGACGGCGAAAATGAAGACGACCAGGCCATGAAGAATATAGATAAGTCTCTTGTCGTCGTCATCCTCCTCCCCCGTCGACCTAAGGGTGTCGTTCAGCGTATCCATGTCTGGTTAGATCTGCAGCGAAAAGGATGCAGGCCTACGATAAAATAATCAGTAATTTCTTAGTATAATGACAAAAGTAATACTTATCGCCTACACTACGCGCAGCCCGGACAAGCACTTCTCTCTCTCTCTCTCTCTCTCTCCCTCTCTCTCTCTCTCTCACTCTCTCTCTCTCTCTCTCTCACTCTATCTCTCTCTCTCTCATCTCTCTCTCTCTCTCTCTCTCTCTCTCTCTATCTTTCACTCCCTTCCTCCTCGATCATCTTTCTCTCCCTCCGTATCCCCCTTCTCTCTGTCTCTCTCCCCCTCTCTCCCTTCCGCTCATCTTACAGCCCCTTTACTCTCTCCTCCAATAACATGATTCTATAATTGTTATAAGCTACCGAAATCCTCCCCTCAGAATGTCGAAACTTAGCGATTTAAAGATCTTTCTCAAACCATGCAGGTTCAGAATATGACATTCTCAACGACTGAATCCCAAACATTAATTAAAGAAAACCACCGTGCCAAAGCTGTTTTGTCTGCTCTCACATTATATATTTGGCATCATCTTAAATTAAGTCTATCGCTGTATTACAGCTTCCATTATGACATCATGATTCGTATACAAGATTTTAATCTGGAGTGTAAACATGAGTTGTCATAATGAATATAGCTTGGTTTGATGTCATCACAAAGCAGAGAGAGAGAAGTCAATGGTGTGATGATTGCTGACATAATTCCCATTTCGATGAAATCAAATTTTGAAGGAAAAGAAATCTTTTATTTACCTGTTTGAGACGTGGAGAGGATGGCAAGAGAGACACCAAAATACAAGGATGTTCTTTTCGTGTAGCACAATCAGAAACAAACTAAAAAATCATAAATGTATTTGAATCCTGCTTTCACTTTTGCTTCGCTTTCAGATGGAGAAGGTAAATAATATTGGGTAGATCTATAGGGAAACTATTGAAGAGACGCTTAAAATGCACCATTCGTGTCCAAAGAATAAAATAGCAGAAAATGAATTTCCCATCACTTTTACACCAAAAAGTCAATTTGTAACAGATACGAATATCCCTGTGCATCAAGCGACACTAAAGAATATGTTTGTTTAAATGTCCGTTTTTTAAACTGACATCGAAGAATGGATAAATGAATATTAAATCATATCCGCATCTCCGAGAATCATTCCACCAACGATATTGACATTTTTCCTGCATTAAACCAACACAGCAAAATAATGTCGTCTGTAACGAAGTGAAAAGGGTTCTCCAGAATTTTGTTGATCCTGACAAGTCATGCACAACTGGAAAGTGCGACACCAGCGCCCCAAAAGTAATAATAATAACAAGAAGAGTAAGAGCACACGTGCCATGTTCATCTACCCGAATCATCGAGTTAATTAGCGCCTCAGACACATCGCCAAACCGATCCCAAACCGACTGATTCTTGACTATTCCGATTAATATTTTATTCGGTCTTTTATCGGTGTTGTCCGCGGGACTGGGATGATTGTACGCAATTGATTCGACCGCCAAAATGAAAGAAATAACGAAGTATCAAAATGGAGCGCAAAATAATGATTGCGTTGGTATCAATTTTTGTGGGATGTTAAGTTGGTTCTGATAAAAGCAAAACAATGAGAGAAACTCAAGTAAGTGAAAGTTGAGCGAAAACAAAAAATAAACAATCAAAAATAAGAAAGTTATGAATATTTGAAGGTGCGATCAATCAAACACAAATTGGCAACTCTGTGACGTATCTAAACGGATATCGCTCAAACTTGTATTAATATTGTTATTCTCATTTTGTTTGCTTTTATTAAGACCAAGATAATATCAAGATGGACTTCCTCTTTAAGGGCTATAGTGCCACTGGGGGGAATTAATACACTGTAAAACTTGTTGTCATGTTGTGTGAGAATTATGAAATGGCAAGAGGGTGCAAGGAAAAGAAGTCGATATGATTAGTTTGATAATCAGGGGATATCCAGACTTTGGCACTGGAAAGGGCCAAATTTTCTCAGGTTACTGTGATTCATAAACTTTTAATAAGCAAAACACATGTTGACTCCAGTGGTTTGCGTTTAGGGGCGGGATAGGGGTCGCTAAAAATGACTTATTTTGGGAAGGAAAAAAGGTAAGTCTTTCCATTTGTCTACTTTTCGCGCTTTACGGAGATCGAGAAAGAGAGAGAAAGAGAGAGAGAGAGAGAGAGAGAGAGAGAGAGAGTGAGAACCAAATCACTTGTGACCCAATGCTCGCAGAAGAAGAGGACAAACACTGCCCTCTCTTTTGAATGTTAGTATAATTCGATCTCTTTATTCAATCCGAGGCGTGATTATGGATCAATGAAGAATAGTAATGAAGAGAAAACAGGGAAAACAGCTACAAATTTGACTGAACCTTGTATCTTGATGTGAATAAAGACGAAAACCTTACTCCATTATCAATATAATGTATCCTGTATTTTTCTGAAAATTTTCTTTTAGTTCAAAGTTTAATTATCACACCAACGTTATTCGTATTAAATCTATCTAAAATTAAGTAACTATTTAATTAAAATTTTCAATTTATATTAAAATAATTATAATTACAAATTATTTTGGTTAACATTTGTCGAAAATATTTTTTATTTACAGCGCTCATAATTACCCAGCAAGCAATGATCGACCTCAAGATACTCCAATATCATCAACCCAACTCTAGTTTGGCTACCCGTTTCGGTGCTCACAACATTCAAGGAATTCCTTTTTACCGGTACCCATTTAAAACGTGGGTAGAGAGTGGCAAATGTAGATTATTGCCTTGCAAAAGACACCAGTGCCGCGCCATTTAGGGGGTAGTATAGTTGATGACGGAATATCTATTTAAAGATTATTACAGTGTCTTTTCTGTTGGCGAAACTACAAATAGGATGAATGATATTTTGACAAGAGGCGTTACCCCCCCCCCCCCCCCCCATTGAAAAACTAGGCCGTACGTATAACCCTACTCCTAAACCAAACCTAAAACCTTGTTGCATTCCCAATTCAAAACGATAAAAACCCTGGAACAAATGTCACGGGGTTCAATTTTGTCAATTCAATTCAATTCAATTTATTTCTCCACAAAATCAATGCCAAAGATAGGAAAATTCATGAAATGAAAGACATACATACAATACAATAAAAGAACATGTACAGCACATAATAAAGCGAATCCATATGGAACAATGTATGTTTTAAAAATGATTTGTCGAGGACTACCCCGAATAATAATTTTAAAAATTGTACAAGTAAAAGTAAATATAAGGTTGAATGATAAGGTGGTACCATTTACGAGAAAGAAGAGGGAGAAAATATCAAAGACAGGGTCGAAGGTCAGATCACAAGGGTTGGATATGTTCATGAAAGTTTCTTTTCAAGATTTTGATGTCATCTCTAGAGATAACAATTGGTGCTGTTTCATTTCAACTTTTTTTAGCCGCTTTTTCTTTATTGCTATTCTTCGGTGATCCATCACATGCCTAAGATTGAATAAGGAGATCGAATAAGGCGTATCCGGACACCTACCCCCTGGACATTCACCCCCCGGATAACCACCCCCAGTCAACTACCCACTAGGACAACTACCCCTAGGGCAACCACCCTCTAGGACGACTACCCTCAGGACAACTCCCCTAGACAACTACCCCCAGACAACTACCCCCTAGGACAACTACCCCCTGGACATTCACCCCCCGGATAACCACCCCAGTCAACTACCCACTAGGACAACTACCTCTAGGGCAACCACCCTCTAGGACGACTACCCTCAGGACAACTACCCCCAGACAACTACCCCCTAGGACAACTTCCCCCAGACAACAACCCCCGGACAACTACCCCCTGGACAACTACCCCTAGGGCAACCACCCTCTAGGACGACTATCCTCAGGACAACTACCCCCAGACAACTACCCCCTAGGACAACTACCCCCAGACAAGTACCCCCTAAGATAGTTGTCCCGGGGGTAGTTGTCCTAAAGGGTAGTTGACTGGGGGTAATTATCCGGGTTGGTTGTCCAGGGGGGTAAGTGTCCTAGAACCCGAATAAGGATAATGAGATTAACTATACTAAAATTCACAAGAGAGGGCAGTGTTAGTCCACTGCTTCTGCGAGTATTGGGTCACAGATGATTTGGTTTGAGGAAATAATAGCCTCTGTCCTCCCCACAACCACCCCCCTCTCTATCTCTTCTCTCTTCCCCCTCTTTTTTACTTTCTCTCTTCCCCCCCCCCCCTCTATATCTTTCTCTTCTCTCTTCCCCATCTCTCTTTCTCTCTCTCACATAATTCTGTTTTATTTTTTATGTGTTATCTTGCTTATTATTTTTCTTTTTTTAAATTCTGTTTTGCGCTGCTGCACTTCCCGCTGTTCCAAATATATCATTTGATAATCAAGTTAAATCCACGCTAACGCTGATATCGTTGAAGAATAATGACATGTCGACACCAAAAAAACAATTAACTCTAAGTGTATGCCACTTTTTTTAATAGCAGTTGGTGAATCTCATTAATATTTTAAGTCTAACCAATCGAGGGACATTACTAATGAAATAAATGGCACCTTCGACATATTGCAATACATATACACCAATTTCGATGGATCTATCTGGATTGAGAGAAAAATTCGGATTTCCAAGTAAAAATGATACAGAACTTGAGATATATTTAATTTGAAGCCCAGATGAACTGTTTAATATTCTTTCTTCCTTTAGCAGTAAGATATACAAACAGCCGATTCTTGATACAGCCGATTGTTATTATACAGCAATGCATTATTCATTCACTAGGCGTATTTATTATGCAACTAGATCTTTTAGTTCATATTGTTTGAAGTTCAAAATGAATATTCCATATTACAACTACGAGAATACACTTATCTTGCCATGTTCTATGTGAATCATGTTCTCCCGACTGCATGAGCTCCTGTACTCAAGGCCTACTTTACAACAACAAAAATTGTTTTCACTCTACAAATTAAGGACCTCAAGCT